AAATCCGACCACTAGTGCAGGCGAAATGAATGCAGAAGTGAATGATACTTGGTTCGGAAGCAAAGGCACTTCATGGACGCCAGGGCAGAATTTCTCATACCCATTTTATTGGGTAGTGACCAATCAGAATGGTCTGGACAATGGCACTTACACCACAAATCCAACGTTCCTGGCTATTCGTGCGTCTGTGTCGCACAATCTATTATGTCCCAACTAACATGTTCGTGAAGAAACTACATATGCAGATGCTGTTGTTTCGTCTATGCAATCGTCGTCATCTGCTGCCGCCGCGTCGTCATCTGCCGCCGCCGCATCGTCATCTGCGGCTGCTCTGTCATCAGCGTCTTTATCACATGCATCTGGGACATCGTCGCTTCCATCGGGAAATGTTCAGTCAAACAACTCAAGTCCACCTTTTCCTCATTGGGCAATAGCAGTCATCGTGGTACTCGGATTTCTCGCCATCGTAGCTGGCGGTGTCTTGATTTGGTTAATCGTGCGCCGTCTACGAAGACGTGGACAGCTCTCGAATCGAGGGTCCATAGGTTCCTCGTCTCCGATGATGGCCAATGCCCAGAACTCCAACTCTCCTCAACTACCGTTGTTGGGGGCTGGGATAGCAGGTGCGGTGGCTGGCCGGACATCATCAGAACAGCATCGGCCTGCATCGATCGTATCTCCGGATGGTGCATCCGATATCTCACGGGCCCACTCTGCAGGCGACACCGGTCCATTTTCAGGAGCCGATGCAGCCATCATGGCGGATGCATTTAGGAAAGCATTGCGCAAACCTGATTTTGCAGGGCCCACTGTTGAGGAGGCCGAGGACCACAGAGATGATGCGATCATGAGTCGTGAATTAGCAGAAGAAGGACGAGACATACGAAGTGTCAGTTCATCACGGGGAGTTAAAGTGGAAACTCTAAGTGAGACTGGTGATACAGTGCAAGATCACTAGGATTTTTTGTGCGCTTTACTTTACTTTATTTCACTTTCGACCTCTCAACGTTGATTGTATATTTTTTCGGATACCTTTCGCAGCCCTCATATTGTTGTCCCACCTTCATCGCCGTTTAGTTCGCACTTTCTAACCCGCATCACACCACTTCTGTAGCCTTCGCTTTTCCATTCCACCGCACCTTTTTCCTTCATTGCAAGGCTGCTTTTTACCATACATCCGTTGTTATCGTGGTCCTCGGTAATTTGTGGTAGTCGCACTAGACTTTTCGTTCGGACTCCTACTCCCTACCCTGCTCCTACTCCCAGCACTTGCCCTGTATTTTCCCCACGGACACCATCCTGCCACTCCTTGCACCCATATATTGCAACCCACAGCTGTGATTGCATATACTTGACGGGTCACGTCTTCCCACCCCTGCCCGTATGCCGCCCACGAATCACATGCCCTCTCATCTTCAAACTGCTTACGCTCTTTCCAACAATCAATTTTCGGCATGCATGTGGACCATGCCAGCTGGGACGGACGCTCCTTACTCAGGGAGGACGGACGCACACTTGGATTTTTCGAACGCTTTCTCATACATCTTTACAGTCCTCATTTTTCTTTTTTTGCTCGTGCCAAAACCTTGTTGACCATATATGCCATCTGGGTTACCATATGACTAGGCAGATTCTCCTTTAATAATGATGATGATGAAACGATCACAAACATCGCGTATACAGTCTGATCGGTCTGGATCTTATACGGAAGGGAGACGGACGTCTCCTTGATTTGGACTGGATCGGGGTATGGCTTTTATTTCTTTGGTATTGGTGCTCTCAGTCATACAAGTTCTCTTTTTCGGGAAATACCCGGTTAGAACAGCAAGGGTGTACGTTTACATCGCTCTCTTCACATACACACACCGGATAAAGGGTGCGTCTGAAATGGAACCCTCGCTTAACGAAAGGGAAAGAGGCGCATCATTCTATTTATTGTGGAACTTGAACCTAATCCTGATTGAACACACACACTGTCCGCTGGCAAAGTATGAGAATGTCATGGTCGCATCTTCAAGTGGGAGGACGCCAAGCAAAGCTATGTGGCCCCGGCCAATTACAACGTCGATTATAGCACAGATATTACTGCAACAGAAGGAACGGAGCAAAGGAAGGCGAATGATACCCGAGGTAAAAGGAATGCGCTCACGATGATATTGATATTATACACTGAGTTATAAATCTATACATGAAAAGGTCTTTCTAAATGCAGTCTTGAACTCATCGTATTCAAAAAAGCGGTTTCCTCTTAGGTTGAGGCAGATGAATGCCGATATACAATTGCGCAATAGGTGCAATTATATCTCATTGTTGAACCGTAAGGTGACGCATGAGCAGTTCATATCTGGCAATTATGTCAACGGAGAGTGAGGTTATGCTACGGTCTTTAACGCACGTTAAAAGTGTAACGGCACTATTTGGCACCGTTCGGAACAGGGTGACTGAAAGACCTTTGTAAAGACCCGTCCAGCCCTCTTTCTGAATAATCTTGCGTGTTATGTAAATGATTCCGCGGCGTGCATGTGTTTTCACCATGCCGTCCGAAGATGCATCCTCAGCTATTGGTAATCGGAGCGTCTGCAGCCGTGTGCGTACAACCTCGTGTGGATACGTTGCAATGGATGCAGCCATCTTCGCTATGCCAGAACATAGCAATATTGTGTCGCTCCGTAGCGGCTCATCGGAGTCACCCTCTGCATTTCTTTCAAAATTGTGATGCAGAATAGGTAACTGCTACTCACGGGCCCATATCTTGAGCTTTTCATATAGGGGAAACTGGACGGCTACATGAAATATTCCTAAAAGGCTGGGTAGGAGCCCACGGTAGAACGCGCGGATGCCCTCCGTGCGGTATATTGCGAAAGCTGCATCGAAGGTATGTCGGTATCTAACTTCTCGTCTTGATTGTGTCTATCGCACGCATGAGCCAGGGTTGGCAAGTTCGTAAATTGGGTTGTAGGAAGTTGATATTGAACTAAAACTCATACCATGAAACGTGTTTTGATGACCCATAGTGGATTGGTACAGGTTGTGCTCGCAGCACCGGCGATCATGGCGGAAAGGATGTGGAGGGTCCACGGGTGGTCGCGCATCACGGGCTGGTAGCCCTTAGTTTGTGCAGCAGGGTATACTCGGTCATGTTTCGGCACTTGGCCCAGCGGAGGTTCTCCGAAGCGCGTCTTAATCCCGTCATATATCGCAAAGTAGATAGCCATTGTTGGAAGATACCCCAAGATTGTGGGGCCAAGACCACGATACATGCCGCGTATTCCATCATGTTTGAGGGTTGTTTTCACGATGTCTGCAGGGGGGGTGTCAGGTATGATAAGGGAGATGAGAACGGAGATGAAGGGACCGGAGAACATACCGAGGACCCCTTGATAACCCTGCTGCCCTTGGACTGTACGTTGCGCTTGTAACTTGGTCTTGATGACGTCGAGCGGACAGGTCGCGATGCTGGCAACCAGACCACCTCCAGCACCAGCTGTATGCGGAAAGCCGATATTATTCAGAAAATGGAGCGTATGCAGTAGTTATAGCGCACCGATCATGCTGTTTGCGGTCCATTTTGCTTTTCGCGTCTGCATATCTCTTCCCCACAAAGGGGGTCGCTCGAAGCGCTGTTAGACTTTATGCTGGCGTGGTCAATATATATACCGAAGGGAGGAGTCTGACCAACCCAACTATGAGCCGACACCTTGCACACCCGGATTTTGCCGAGTCATCTACTAACTGGCGGCCTTGTCCAAACGACACCAAATTCCGACTTTGATCTTGCTACTCCACGGCACAGCAGCTACTTACAACAATACTGGTCCGGATCTTGTATATACTGATAAGTATAGGTTGGAACTACCTGGCATGTAAGTGCCTGCGCCATTGACACGGTGAGGGTGCCGTATCACTAGCAGCTGGCCCAACTTAAACACTATCTCAGGCTAACACAACTTAATCACAGCGCCCATAAACGTTAAATTTTAAATCATGGTAAAAGCAACTTACAGAGACGAAATACTTGCCGAGCACTCAAACCCTGTCATGGTGGAAGGCAACTATTACTTCCCCCCTGAGTCTGTCAATAAATCACTCCTCGCTTCCTCAGATACAAGGTAAGGCAGTATCGTTGATATAATGTTGATGCACATTTAACTTCAAGTGCTCCGAGTCAGCACTGAGTGTGCTTGGAAAGGGTGAGCATCCCGGGTCCGTCGACTGTTGCTCAGCGCTGAACTTGTTTTGACGGAATCTTCCTGAAGGACAGCGTCATACTATTCTGCACAGATTCATGGTGACAATGTGAAAGATATCGCATGGTAAATTGAAGTGTATCTGCCAGGCCGGACTGGTCTGCTAAGTTATCATCCAAAGGTACTACGCGGATCCAAAAACCAAAGCATCGCATATCAAGGATCATGTTGCGTTCTACAAGGCAAGGCTATCTTCATGGGGTTCTTCCGCTCTAACGTTATGGCTTGGCTTCAGAATAAAGTAACTATTGAGTGAAAGGGAAAGAAATCATTTTTCACAGAAAGTGCTGCATATTTGTATCCATGTAATTATACAGACTCGAAGAATCAAAAGTCTACCCTAAGTCAAGAGGCGCTTTGGAGGGCCCTGACAGCCGAAGTATCATAGGGAGCTGCTGGAGGCCTAACTGAAGGTACCTGCGTCTGTTTAAATTCGCGAATGAATGAATATTTGGCCGCCATCCATCTACGGCGTACGCTTGCATAAGCGGTCTCCTTACCTGTCACGTGAGCTCTTTCGACCACCATTAGCGGCTTAGAGTGTCAGATCTCGCTTGCGTTCATGAATGCAACTCAGGCGAAAGACAGGCTATATAGCCAACTCGCAGCTAGTCTGAAGAACATGTCACGCGCTGTCGGGCAAACAGCAGACCTCTTTGAACAACTTCAGACAGACTTGGACGCCATGAGAGTTCTGGCTGGTACACATGCTGCACAGTAAGTCCTGATTTTGAACTGTACCGTGACATCTTGATTGATGGGGCTTATCATGTTTACTTAGGTTCATGACTGTTGCTGCGGAACTCAGCCCTGAGGCTGATGGGGGAGCAAATACAGAAGCCACTATGGTAGGTAGCGCGTCACTGGAAAATTTCGTTATTGAGAAAACCCTGTAGTAAATTATCTTGCGACTTGAGTTCACTCGGGGATCAGAGACAACCAAAGACATTTGGATCCGTTGCATGTAGATCAGTTACTCGAGCACGTCAACCTCATACTATCGATGTCCAGCAAAGATTTCAATACCAGCTTTGCGAGGGGCATGTTTTCTAAAGCGCGATTGTATTGGCTGGGTAAGAACAGAAATACTCGACTAAGCTTTCCTTTTCTTTGTGAGGTTGGGGAATCCCGGCCACCGGCAATCTCCTCTATGAGATGCGTGTCTATACGGATTCTGTGCAAGGAATCAGCCATTGAACTATGTAGAGACAAGGGAAACTCACGCTGCAGAACATTGTTGAGCTTGTTGACACGCGACGAGACACTGAGGTCAATGCTCTTGTCGCCGAAGTCCACTACAATACCGCCGAGGACTGACGGGTTCACCTAAAACTCGTTAAAACTGACTTGAAAAGGTTATGAACAAAATTGAAGTACCTTGTTGGAGATTTTCAGCGACTTTGCCTGCTGAGCTGTCTGAGACTGCTTGAGGATAGTCTCCAACCGGGAGGACAAATCCCTGGGTAGAGGAGTAGCAGACGTGACAACAACTTCCAGTTCTCCCTTGTACTTTGCAACCAGCTCATTGAACCCCTCGATAACACCTTGCGTCTCTCCGAGTCTACCATTCTCCGACAGGACACCGAACAAGTTTTTTGTTATGTCAGAGACAGGCTCCTTCTTGGAGCCTTCTGCACGAGAATATATGACAGCGAGGCCCGCAGAGCGATCCTTGGCAGATAGCGTTGGGTTGCTGACGAACGCTTGGAGGTCGGGCACCTCCTTGATGACACTAGAGATGGCGTTCAATTCCGACTGGACCTTGGTGAGCGTTTGCGGTGATTTCGAAAGAGCAGCCGAATAAACAGCTTTGGAGTACTTTTGAGCAATTGTAGAAACTGCTCGCCGTCCCAGACCCAGGGAGGCGGTTGCTGAGCGGAACGAGGAGCACAACATGGTAGGTGTTGGTGATGTGTTTCTCCGAGGTTGTAAGTATCGGGAAAGTGCGGGCTTTGAAATGAAAAGCTCAACCCGGCGTCTCCGCTGATCAAACGATTCTACAGAGGAAACACTGAAGGTGTCGAGAACACTTTCAATGCATAGCCTAAATTATTCTTATTCTAAAGCTAACCTAACTTATATTCGTAAGTTCAGAAGGAATCGGTTGAGAGTGAGGGTGGGTCAGCGGCATGGTGGGAATGCACGAAGTCGATAGTGTATGCAGACCACAAGCCAAGTGATCCTGGGCAATACACCCACAACTCCGATGCAAAATTACTACTATCGAGCACATACGAATCATGATGAGGGAATACCAAATGTAGTTCAGCATGGACCACTACCGAAAGGGAGCACGTCATGAAGCAGCTGCCCCCGACGAACCAACCGCTTTTGCATTGGGCAACTTCTTATCACCAGTGGTCAGCTGTTCCAGGTCTGCAGCCTTGAAATAATGAGGAGCGACTGAAAGGTGTCATTAACATTATGAGGGAGACAACTCGAATGATAGTACTTGCCTTCCATTAGCCATGACGGCTTGATTTCCATGATTTGTCTGATGGGGAGCAAAGCGATTAGATGCATATGGTTTGTCGAAAAAAGGACTTGCCTCATGTATGATTTTGAGGTCATAACAAGCTCATAATATAGCACCGTTTTGACGGGCGGTTGGTGTTGGAAAAGACTTGATGAGGGGTGGATATATACGGTGTGATGCGTCTTCAGCGTCCGGTAAGAGTCGCCGCTCTTCTGGAGTTGGGCCTGAGAATGTTGCATGAGTATACTTTCATGCGTCGACTACGAATTATTCGACTTACAGTATTGTAAAAGTACCCCGACGTGATAGCTTTCTGCACAGGGCTGACGTCGTTTGCGTTCGGATTACTCTGAATAACGACTTCAACACGTTCACAAAGCCCAGCAAGTTGATCCCGGATATCCCGCGCCCGACTAAGACTCTTGAACTGCAAAAATTGCTCGTAGCAGAACTGTTGCGAATAATTCGTATCGGCCCATTGCTCCCAGACGTTGAGCAATGTGAAGTGATCTCCTCCTGTGCGAACGAAATTTTGACGTGCTTGGTCTGCATGCATTTTTTTATCTTTGGGACGATAAAACAGCGACGAGGATTCAGAGAGCATCGCTATAATGGTCAATACCTGGTGATGGGATAGCGTCAGCATCAACATGTTATTTCAAGATATGGAAGCCCATACCTCGTCAGTACACGAGTACTTTTCGCTAGAAATGATGGCTTTAGATAACATGGGATCAACAGGGAACTCTGCCATCCGTCGACCCAGTTTCGTCAGCTCCCCACGATCGTTCAATGCCCCCAGAGCATAGAGCAGCTCTAGTGCCCTGATAAGCGTCTCTCCCGGAGGTGGGTCCATAAACTCAAAGTCCATGAAGTTGTTAATTCCGAGTGATTTCAGTAACAGGACAGTCATTCCAAGGTTCGTGCGTTGAATTTCAGGTACGGTATTCTCCTCGAGCTCGTTTGCAAACGCCCATTTCGTGTATAGTCGGAAGGCTTTGCCGGGCCCCACGCGACCTGCACGGCCTGCTCTTTGGTTGGCTGATGCACGAGAACACTGGGACGCACAGTGAAATGAGTTGTAAGCACAAAGATAATACAGCGTCATCACTTACCGGAACCACGATCAAGGAAGACATGCCAGTACGAGGATTATACGAGTTTTGCTTGACAAACCCAGGATCGATAACGAAGACCACACCTTCGATAGTGATTGACGTCTCTGCGATGTTTGTAGCGAGCACGACCTTTCTTGCGCCATCCGGCGTTGGTTCAAAGATCTTGGCTTGCATATCGCTGGGCAAGTTGGCGTAAATTGGACAGATGATTAACTCGGCGATCTTGTTCCCGAGCGCCCGAGCCGTCTCCTGCAGATTTTCTTGAGCTGCTTCGATTTCGTCTTGGCCCTGCATAAGAGTGAGCAGGACGATGCAGTAATGAGGATCTGGCACGCACCGTAAAGAACACAAGGATGTCGCCTTTGGGCTGTGTTGTATGGATCTGGAAGACGGTAGTGATGGCTGCGTGCAGGTAATTGGCCTCTGGCTGTGGCGTGTAATGAATGTCGACCGGGTATCGACGCCCAGGGACTGCGAACAACATTAGTATTACATTTGTCATCTGCAAACTATAGCTACCCACCATAAAATACCGGTGCATTGTCAAAGTACTCGCTGAACTTCTCAGCATCCATGGTCGCGCTCGAGATCAACAATCTCAGCTCAGGCCTGAATCTTGCAATATCCTGACAAACAGAGCCCCTCAGAACCTAAAGCAAACCGTGAGAAGTAGCACCACACACCTTGACGAGAGCAAAAAGAATGTCCGTACTCAGAGTCCGCTCGTGTGCCTCGTCAATAATCAGTGCTGCATATCCGGCTAAGTCTGGTTCAGTCAGAAACTCTCGAAGGAGCATTCCGTCCGTCATGTACTTGAGCACTGTCTTGTCGCTCGTGCAGTCCTCAAACCGGATGGAATAGCCTACTTCGTACCCAACTTTGGTACCCATCTCCTCAGCAACGCGCGCCGCTACGGACATTGCAGCCACACGACGAGGTTGTGTGCAACCCACTTTCTGTCCATTGGCTGTGTACCCGGCTTCGTGCAGGTACTGCGGAAGTTGAGTTGTCTTGCCTGAGCCGGTCTCGGCGACGACAATAAGCACCTGATGTTCCTTAATGGCCTCCAGCAGTGGTTCTCGGTATGTGTATATTGGCAGAGATTTGCGAGTTTCATCGATGGTTTGCGCTGGATTAAAGCCGTCAGATACCATTACCAGAGAGGGAAGTTATGTACTAACCTCGTTTTTCAGCCTCTTGAATTTGTTGGTGCAAGAGTTTGTCCTTGGCACTCATCATTCCCTCCCCCTTGAGCGTCTGGTCCATGACGAACTTAATGGTCTGGCTCTCATCAAACACGTACTCGTAATCGTCGGGGACCTCCCTTTTGTCCATAGCGCCCGTCCGAAATGTGCTGTGCAGCGTTTGACTAGCCTCCCACTGGTCGACATCTGTGACAAACTGGTCATCCTTGGGTTTGGCCTCTTCGTATCGCTTGTAAAGTGCATTCTGCTTTTTCTCCTTGTCGATTTTGCCCTGCTCCGTAATGTAGTCTTCAGGTAGCATGTAACCATCCCACTTGTCGTTGATCTTGAGACGCTCCTCGACAAGCCGCAGAATCTCTTTCTTACGCTCCAAGTCCTCCTGCTCCTGCTTCGTGACCTTCATTCCATGGAAATAGGCCTCCTCGTCCGCGATCTCCTTCCTCAGGAGCTCAATTTGCTGCACCTCACGTTTGGTTAGGTATTCCTGCCGAGAATGCAACCGCAGTGAAGGAAGTGCATGCGTCCGTGCTTCAGCGTCATCTGCAAGTTGTCGACGTTGTGCAGCCTCGGCCGCCGCACCTGCATTACGAGAGGAGCGATCCTCGACGACCTTTTTTGTCTTTTCCCGGTCTTTTTCACGCACCCGCTCAGCAAACGCATCTCGTTCCTTCATATCCTGTACTCGCTCTCGTTCTTTTCTTTCATCCTCATCCTCTGGAATGTCCATTGCTTCTTCATCCGCATTGGTTTCAACATCGTCTGGTCTCCGTCGCTTCCGATACTTCTCTTCCTCATCGCTTTCCCATTCTCTGCTATCGTGCTCTCTCTTCCTCAGATGCCGGTCACGCTTCTCCTTACCGCTTCCTCTGTCCTCCTTGTGCTTCTCCTTGCTGCTACTTCCCTCCTTCCGCTTCCCCTTCAGCTCCGAAACACCAGGGGTAGCCTCATCTTCAAGCAAAAACTCAAACCTGCGGGCATTCAGTGCCTTCGCCTCCTTCTCAGCTTGCTTCCGGGTATGGTCTGCTGAAGACTTGTGTTTGCTTTTCCTAGGGACGCGAGAGAAGAGCTCGTTGATGAATACATGTGCATCGGGTGTGTTTGGAAGGCCAGAAGCAGTGAGAGAGGAGAAGAGAGCGTCTGGCGTTTTTGATGTCGATGCTAGAAGACAACATTTGAGTAATGACAAGTGGAAACATATGGAATGGGTCATACCCGAAGCCTGTACGAAGTCGATGATACTCCGGTCTGCAAGACCAAAAAGCTGTAAAGCGATATCAGGTGAGGTGTATATGGCGGGGGGAACGGACGTTACCCTAACACAGTTATCGCTGATGAAACGGTGAAGGTCGCTCGACATAAGGCTCTAGATGTGACAAGGTTTAGCTGTTACATATATGAAGCCACGACAATGTCACACTACTAAATATGTCAATTCGTGCTTAAACGCTTTCGCCACAAAATTACCAAATTTGGTATCTTGTTGATCTGTAGACTCGTCCGAAGTGTCGTCACCGTGCTCGACATCGAACAAGATGGGAGACGGCCGCGAACGACACTCAACTTCCAAGCATAAACGTAGTAGAGACAAGGATGATCACAAAAGCAAGAAAAAACACAAGTCCGAGCACAAATCCCACAAACGCAAGTCTCACACAGAAGAGGTCAACATCACGGACGATGACGCCAACGAAGACGATATGTGGGTCGAGAAGAACATCGACAACGACGGAGAACGGGTGAGTACGTATTTGTCTTGCCTACGTGGCGCTGACATGTTTTGCTCATCAGCTTCTCGCAACGGATATTCCAACTGCAGAGAGCCTGAAGATCACGAGTCATGCAACTGCCGGAGAGGCAGACCCGTCGCTGCCACCTAATTTGACAACGGAAACGAGACTACAACGTGACGAATGGATGCTCATGCCATCTGGTGGTATTGCAGAACCTTTGAATTTGTCGAGGCCATCTGCCCAGGGGTTACCCACAGGAGACGAGACTTTTACAGAGGACTACGGCGAATCCTCTTCGAGCCAACGCATACCTGCCGGAGGCGTCGACTTCTTTTCTTCTCTTGGCACCGAACGCAAGCGACCACCACGACCTGACAAAGCTGATCCTGACAAGGTACAGTACCACTCCTTCAGTCTTCATACATAAGCCGAAAATATACTTCCAGATCAAAATCAGTTCTAAAGAACTCAACCAAGACATCCGTACTGGACGTTCAATCGATAATGATGTACCTCCCCCACCTCCAAAGGTCACAACCCCTGGTGGCCCAGGCTCTAATTGGCGCATGATGCGTCTTCGGCGCGTATACGAGACCGCAGAAGAGGAAAACAAACCCATCGAAGAAGTTGCGCTCGAACGTTTTGGTACGCTGCAAGCATTTGAAGAAGCCAAAGAAGAACGGCGCATCCTTGACGAACGTCAAGGCAAGCGTTCAGAACGGAAGGACGAGAGAGGTCGAGGGCGGGAGACTGGCGGGGAGAAACGGTTCATGTTTACTGATGTTGGTGCGAGCGGCGCTTCGTCGCGTAGCTCGTCCTTCAGACGTCCTGGATCAGGTCCAACAGGAAGTACCCCATCCACGCCATCCCCCACCAATCCGCCTGCGAACCGGCGTCTCGATTCTTTACGTTTGCCATCGCAGGCTGCATCGCCACTCGCACAGTCACATACGCCAATCCCGAACGTCATGACACCGTCTATGGCGTCAACAAGTACACGTCGTGCCATGTCGCCTTCATCGCTGAACAAGTTACAAGCTCAGGTTCTGCGTGCAAAATTGATGAATGCGCCGAACGCTGAGACACTTGAAGAAGAGTACGAAGCAGAGGTGAGACGGGCGAATGGTGAGGAGGGAGGAGTCAGGACGCACGTGGAAGTGCTACCGACATTGGATGCCAGAGGACGAATGTATGATGTTGGTCATGGCAAGGATGACTCAGAGAAGGGGCCCGGTAACAAGAGGAAGAAAGAGAAGGTAAATTTGCATTCTTCAATACCATCTCGCTGACTATATGCTGGTTAGTTTGAAACGCGTGATGCGAAGACGGGAGAACTTCTCAGGTATAACGCTGATGACGATGAGATCACTCTGGGAGAAATGGTTAGGCAGGAGCGATTTGGAGCGGGAATGGCAGACCAAAAGAATTTGGATGCCCAATTCGCAAAGGCCATCATGGGAGATGGCAAGTTTCAGGTGCGGAAGTTCTAACAACTTCTGTGCTCCTCCTGACACTCATAATACTATCTACAGAATGATCTTGACTACATGGACGATAATGCGGAACGACTTGGGCGGCAGAAGATGCGAACCGACGCAATGAAACGACAGTTTGCTGTTCACGGTAGGTTTGCATCCTCTATCTTAGTTCTTGATTCCGAACAATTCTCCCGATCAGACTACAAACGCACTCAAAAAGCCCTCGCAACATGCCAGTTCTGCTACGGTGAAGACGATTCCCCTCCAAAAGCACCTGTTGTGGCGATGGGCACACAAGCCTACCTCTCTTGTACGCTGAATGAGGAACTTCTAGACGGACATTGTCTCATCGTACCTATACAACATCACCTTACAATGCTGGAGGCTGATGATGACGTCTGGGACGAAGTGCGAGTGCGTAACCACCACTTTCTACATACAAGCATACTGACACATCCTATAGAATTTCATGAAAAGCGTTATGCGCATGTTCGCTGAAGAAGACAAAGGAGTCATCTTCTACGAAACTGTCATCTCTCTCAAACCGCAAAAGCATACCTGCATCGAGTGTGTACCGCTCACATGGGACAAGTACGACGACATTCCAGCGTACTTCAAGGAGAGCATCCTCGCATCTGAAGCAGAGTGGTCGACACATAAGAAGGTTATCGATTTTTCCGCGCGGCCTGGGGGGTTCAGACGCGCGATGGTGCCGAACCTTCCATATTTCATGGTGCAGTTTGACTATAAAGGGGAGAAGGGGTACGGGCATGTTATTGAGGGCACAGGAGAGTCTGCGGCGACTGGTGAGGAGGATGGGGCGTTAGATGAAGGGGATAAAGGTGGTGGGGATTTTCCGGGGTGTGTCTTTGTTTTTTGCATGCTTGATGATTGGTTGCTGAAGGTGCTTACTTGCAGATATTTTGCGGGAGAGATTATTGGGAATGTGCTGGATCTTGATCCACGTCGGTGGATGCGACCACGGAGGGTTGACTATCGGCATAACAAGGATCGGATACAGAGGTTCAAGAAGATGTATGAGAAGTTTGATTGGACAGGGTTGATTGGGAAGTCGTGATTCATTTCGTTGACCTTGTTCGTTATTCTGTTGTCACCGTGTTGCATTGATATCGTATATAGTAAATGCTTGTGAATTTCGTCGTCACATGAGTCAGAACCGGATATACTCCCTGATTGCTCCCTGATCATTAAAGTTCAACTTTACTCAGGCGGAACCTCCAACATCGAATAAGCTGTTGTAGTAGGCCTCAGAACGTGGCGATGTCGATGCTGTTAATGGAACTAGCATCACCTACGCGTATAGCCGTGTGCGGGAGCCTGACTCGGAGATATGGCTCTATGTGCATGCGTACACTGAGTACTGCTGGTAATGGCAAGACTGACCAGGCGCTTCGTCGGTCATATCTATACGGTATGCTATAGACGTGCACGTCTGACCTAGATTTCAAGCTGAATGATGACCAGTACCCTCGTCGTCTGACCGGATGCTGGACAAGTCTTTGAGCACACCATCCGACATCATCATATACGACCTCGAGGACAGCGTACCGCCTTCTCTTCACGACAAGGACAGTGCAAGACAACGGCTGAGTACGTTCCTAAGCGTACGTGGGCACATTCGTATTCTCCGTATCTTGGGCCTGACGCTTGGATAGCGCACACCAGAGCACAAGCTTCCGCACCCCGAGCGTATCGCTGTCCGCCTAAATGACATTACTACGCCTTTTTTTGAGAACGATATATCCGAAATCGTAGGTGTTCGATATCCCCGTCATGCATATCTTACTCAAGTTTTGCCTGTCACCTAGCTCAAGTCACCTTTCGTCCGAACACTCGTACTGCCCAAGATCCACTCCGCCCGCGACCTTCATCACGTCTCGCGAGCCGTTCGAATTTCACGGGCCAGAACCTCCACGTCATTCCCCATACGAATCATTGCGAGTGTCGAAAGCGCCCGCAGCGCATGGAATCTCGGGGAGATTGCTTCTTGGGCTTCGGAGTATGGCCCAGATGTTGGTGGGAAGTTGGGCGCTCTACTCGTATGTTTCTTCTTTATCAGTGTTCCTAGTTAGTTGATGGAATATGTCTGTAGTTTGCAGCAGAAGACTGTATAGTGCTTTTCTACTCGGGCACAAGTGGAAAGCTTATTTGGATACAGATTGTGCTGATACTTCGGTGGTGCGGACGCCTTCGAGGCTTGAGCTTCTATATGTACGTTCCCAGATTGCAACTGCTGCCAAGGCTTTCGGATTGGATGCCATAGATATGGTCCGTGGATTCCACTGCCATGTTTGAACTAAAGTCGAGCATCATAGGTCTGTGTCAACTACAAAGACCTTAATTATCTAAAAGACGAATGCGAAGATGGCCGGAGGCTTGGTTTCAACGGGAAGGTAAATACTGTCTTGATTTGAAGTGGGACACATACTGAACATGACTATCGTTTCTAGCAAGCTATCCACCCCACACAAGTTGATACCATTCATTCGACATTTGTTCCTACGGAGAAGGGTGCGTCATCTCCATCCAAATTTAACTGTGACCGACGTCCTCGCGTAGAAATTCTTCGCGCCGCAAAGATTCTCCACCAAATGGAAGTTGCACATTCATCTCAAAAGGGCGCCTTTGGCCTAGAGATGGAGGGGGGTGGTAAGGAGATGATCGACGCTCCGATGTTGAAGCAGGTGGGTCCGTACGGTTTCTTATTCAGTAAAGTGTCTGATACATTGGCCAGGCTGAGAATATTATTCGAGTCGCTAAGGCAGCTGGCTTGGAGATTCCTGGTGTAGGTTAATTGCAAAATAATGTATCGTGTTCAGGTGCAGTGAATGGTATGTTGTTCAGCATCTTGCTCAATCAGCCAGTAAGCACCCTGCAAAACACCGGCAGTAGTCTTTGGAAAAATCGTCGCACAGATCGGCAAGCTTTCTAGCCTCCTAGAATTCTTCGCTCCCCTCATCATGATCCGTCTATTGATTGTATCTTTGGGGTAATACGCTCACATTTTGATCAACCTCAACGACGGCACTGATGACTCGTGTGCAACAGACAACATTGTAACCCGCAGAAAATACCGTTTTCCTCTCTTCCAATTATGGATCACACACGAGAGCTGATATGCTCCCATACTGCATCAACGCAGTTGTGATGGTGAAGTTCTTGGAAAGCGACCTGGACCAACTTTCTGTCGAGTTTAACTTGGCGACATCAGACTCAAGTTATCACTCCTCTTTTTCTTAGACTGCTTTTTGTGAGGGAACATGAATGCCGGTTCTACAAACTTCCTATTTTTCTGCCACTGCTCGTAATTTGATCTTACTTAGGTGGCAACCTAATCAATCATGCTCTGGAGCTGCGACATGTGACCGAAAATCCATAAAGAAGGAACGGTCTTCCGATGGTTAGTAAACAAGATCAAATGCGAGTAGACCTTTGGTGTATCTCTAATTCCCACCTAGAAACTCTTATCTTGGCCAATTATATCTCAGGTCATGTGTCCTCGTCATAAGTGTCATCACCGAGAATGCGATATTCAAGTACTGGCTTCACGGAACTACCTTGCTTGATTGCACCTTATCATCCTGAGTCCTACCAGCACCATGTCAGACCTTCCCTCCGCCATCCACCCCGACATTCTTCCCCGCCTCGACCCTGAATACGTCGCGTTCCATAATATCCATCTAGCCCACCGCGTGCCCCCGCACACGATCCCCTGGCATCCGGATATCAGGAAGGCACCCTACATCCCAGGTGGCTCGCCTATTAGGACAGTCGGGGCTGTCAAAGATATCAGTCTGCAGAACTGCAAGATTCGGGCTTTCATACCTGAAGGAACTCCTCCTGCAGAAGGGTGGCCGGTGTTGTTATATATCCATGGAGGTAACGGTCTATGATTATTCGGCAGATCTCAGCTGAGAATCCTAAGGTGGATGGACGCTTGGGAGTATCGATACTTTGAACTCATTCATATCCCGCCAATGCAAAGGTGAGGTCGGACAGTGAAGACCGTTGTCGGACTGGAGTTTACTAATTGCGTTTAAGATAACAACTGCGTTTCGGTGGCTCTGGACTATCGCTTGGCTCCTGAGGACCCATATCCTGCAGCGGTCGAGGACACGGTTGATGCGTTGAAATTCATTTACTACAACGGGAAGGCAGAGTTCAATGCGAATGTGAACAAAATCGCGGTTGGAGGGTCATCCAGGTGCGTACCGTCCCATCCCGTGTGAATCCATGATGAAACATAACTTTTGTCAGCGGCGGCAATTTAGCTGCAATCGCATGTCTCAAGGCGCAAGAACTCACGCCTCCCATCCCCATCATCTTCCAGTTGTTGATTGTGCCTGGTAAGCACAGAGCACTGCACATGTCCGTCTCCCTCACCAGCTTGCAGTGACTGACAATACGGCATCCGTCACCGACGAGAGATACCCGTCTTGGAAAGAGTGCCAGAACACCGTTTGGCTGTGCGAAGGGCGGATGATGTGGTTCCGCAACATGTACCTTCCTGACCCTGCGACCTGGGCAGAGCCAGACAACTCGCCTATCTTCGCGTCGGATGCTTTGCTTGCCAAGGTCCCGCCTGCATTCGTTAGCGTCTGCGAACTTGATATTCTGCGAGATGAAGGGCTTGCGTATGGCGAGAAGTTGAAGTCGCTTGGGGTGAAGGTAGAGGCAAAGGTTTACCCAGGAGCATCGCATCAGATTCTTGGGATGGATGCCGCGCTGAAAGTTGGGAAGCAGCAGGCTGACGACGCCATCAAGGCTGTGGGAGATGCTTTCAACGCGGCATAGGTATTGATATGGATGTTACAGAGAATTGTGGTGAATTGTGTACGATTACACTGAATGCGAAGACATGCGAGGGCCGCAGTTATATTATAAGACAGCCTTGTCATTGTCTTTCGGAAAGATGGTTTGTTTTCCAAGGTCCAGTCTGCGTACATGTCTGTGAACTGCAGTTAAGAAATCGCGCATGGCGTGGAATCAGGAGTGGATGCAGAGGTGAAGGTTTACCCAAGAGCCAAGAGCACTGCGTCAGATTTTTGGGATGAACGCTGCGCTGAAAGTTGGAAACAGCGATACACGTGCCAGAGGAGACCGATAAGATGTTACTACGGGCATGATTCGAGGCAGATGCGCATTAGGCTACCGTATACAACATTCATCGAAGACGACGGTTAGCAAAAGCATGCTACTTTTGATGAGAATATCTCTTGCCGAATCTTCCCTGCGTTGACTATTCTCCTAGTTAGGTGACGAGATCGAGTTGCGAAATGAAGATCTGGACGGAGGATGGCTTGTGTAGGGCAACGAACCATCATCCGCGCTAGTCATCGTCTTAATGTTCCTCTTACCTTACGATAGAAAGCCGAGAGCAAGCACTCCGCACTCGAATAGGGCTATGTCCGACGTAGGGTCACAGACCATAAAACTGATTTTTTCTCTTGCAACGGTTGACATTATCGAACGATGCATTGCACGAGTCTCATGACGAGGAATCATGATTGATGTACGTAGTTGCCAAACGATATGAAGAGATTAGACCACTGAAGAACTAGAAGCAAACATGAAATAGTGTACCAGTATTAATGTCCATCGGCGTGTGGGGGAGTTGCACAGTAGAAGAGAAAACGAAATGAGTCCGCCATAGGAGGGGCCGTGGCTACGCGCTTGCTGCGCTTAGCGCGGTAGGAATAGTCGCAGGAGCGGATGTCGAGGCGGCAGTAGACTGAGTCTGTAATGATGACGCCTGGGCATGGACTTGGCTTTGCTGCTGTGTTCGTTGTGCATTTTCATTAGCGTGCTGAGGTGATGCACAGCAACAAAAAAGCACGAGATGAGCCAATAATCGGACGGGTAGTGGGTATCTGCGACGTGGTGTAGTAGGATTAGTACCTGGAGCAGGCTGTGTCGTAGATGATTCCTGGGCGTGCGATTGGGTCTGCTGCTGCGTTTTTTCTGGCGGTGGGGGAGCAGTGAATATAACCTGAACAGAAATGATTAGACAATGGCGATGGGAAGTGCACGCAAAGTTGTATACCTCTCTGTCCTTTACTGCAGCCACTTCGACGATACGAGGACCACGAGAGAGGATCGACCACCTTGGGCGTTGCTGGAGATCGGTTGCTTCATCAACATTTGAGTGAGAGTGGTGGAAAAGGGATGAAAAATGTTTGAGAAGAGGTGCCAGAGTGCTGCGAGCGGGAGAACGATGGGTACTACGTGTTGGAGATGACTGAGAATACATACAGTCAGAACAAGAACTAATCAAACAAAAGCAGACGACTCACCTGGGGGCCATTTTGTACGCCATCGAAAAAGGCAGGCGGTATTGGACGGGCCTGGATAGGTGGACGTCGAGTAGCATTGCTCTAGAGCGACGATCTTATGTAAATTGGTTAGAAAGATTAAGAAAGATGTCACGTACGTTCATTCGAGCTGGGACCTGCAAGTGGGAGATTAGCATGGTGTTCACTGAAGAACCGTGAAATTCACATTAGACAGAGGTTGGAGGATGTCTTCAAGGCCATCTTCTTTGAGGATGGCTTGAATGTCCCACACATACGCGTTTCCGTTTTTGCAACCAGTGACTAGCAGTTTTCCATCAGCGGAAAGGGCTGCGCAGAGCACAGCATCCTCATGTCGGAGGGGTGGACCGACTGGGAGGTTTGTGTCGAGATTCCATAGACGCGCTGTTTTATCGATGGATGCACATACAAGCAATCGTTCAAGGTGATGACATTGTCCAATATCCTAATCCGGTTATATGAACCGGAGATAAGTTTTCCGTTGGCCGTCCATGCCAGGCTCCTAAACATTTTGATATCTCGTTTGTCAAGCAGCTCGCCCGTCTTGGCATCCCAAATTTTGACTGCATCCTCTCCACGGTCACCGGTTGCGAGTTTCATCGCATCGGGCGAGTATGTTACCACGTGCACCCACTTGTGTCCGGTTTTGATCGTCAGGACAGTCTGGCCGCTCTCGACATCCCAGACTCTTGCCCACCCATCCCAGGATCCACTCAGCACTTGGCTACCGTCTACACTCCAACACAATGCACCTACAACATCAGTGTGTCCTGACCATCTAGCAATCACTTTCCAGTCATCGCATCCACTTGCAATTGTCTTGCTATTTGGAGACAATGCCATGGACCGCACTCCTGCCTCATCCTCTTCATCTCGCCAGTCCTCTCCTGTCTGTGTGCCGCTTTCTAGGTCCCATAGTCGCAGTGAGCGGTCCGTTGAGCATGTGATGATTTGTCGTTGAGCATGCAGATGTACAACACTGTTTACCCAGTCGGTATGACCTCGCAGCGTCTGACATGGCATGATGTCTAGCGTCTCGATGGTAGAGGAAGACATGCTTGGCACTCGGTATTTCAACTACGGCAGATTGGGCAATATGTGTGCAAGAGAGGCGGGATCTTGGAATCAGATCGAGTTATCTGGCAACACTAATAATTGCTGGTGAGTCCTGTCTTGGTCACCCTACTTCTTGTCAGAGCACGCGAGCGATTGCTAATAAGACAGTCCACTTACAGGTTCACTCCTTACCCAGAACTCTGTCTACGGAGGAGGTGCTGCGTCGTTACTTAGATATCAGAATATTCAAGAGATCTTTGTGGGTATTCAAAGTTGCTGGTAAGCATATCGTCAATTGTGTCCTGCAGGAAAGCCTACGATATCGCTTACGAGAAACGCCGTTTAGACTCACTCACCAGCGATCAGAGGGCGTCTGGTTGGAGTTGAGGAAGTTGGGCACCTGTTCATTCAAGTCGTCTTTTTAGGTTCGTCCCATGTGCAATCCTCGTGTCCGTTTCACAGCTTATTGCTGTGTACATCAAGCGCTCATGTCTGCTACCAGTGTTGTACAAATGATCATATACGTAGGGACTAGGCCATAATAAATATTCAAAGGTGCCTCACTCCCCACTCACATTTCTTCCGGCCCATGTTTCAACTCGATGGCTCTCATCTGCGACCAGTGCTATGTTCATCTCCTTATACGTAAGGACTGTATCGATGGTTATAGCACACATTCAACAGGGTGCTGCACACCCTCCCCACTCTGCACGTCTTATCCGGTCTATTTAGAACTTGATGTCATCAACTCTTCCAACACCTTTGTAGGATATGGAGCAGTGCATTTATTCAGGTGGACTTCTTTGTTTTTCGAAGAGATCTTCGTTCACATTGAACAGCTGACAGGACGAATCACGGCCGTCTCCACCATCATTCTCTCTCAGATGCATATCTCCGTCAGAAGTTGATCGCGCATCTCACATCTTTTATGTGTCGATGACGCGTGATTTGTTCTGGAGATACACCCTCGACTTGAATCTACATGGACCCTGAATGGATCCTCTCCTATTCACGTACGAAGCGTGAGCAGCACCCACCCTGATTCGACGAGAAGCTCCGTACAAGCTCATTTCAATAATTGTCAGTTCTTTTACCAGTGTGCTTACTCTAAACGGTCTGATTAACCTTGAACGCTGCATACGAGTGTTTATTGCAAGCATGGGTTAGAACGGCCACTCACTTATGTCAAGTATAATTTACCTGCATTGTGACACGCCTGTCGCATCGTGCTGACCTGTGGTACGTTCTGGTACTGGAAATCAGAATACTGTCTTATCACGAGAGACTTCCATTGAGACTGTATGATAAACTTAAGCGGCATTATTAGGCTTTTCATTAAGCGTTCTGAGAGTTGATAAGTAACTGAACGTTGGACATCCGTCCCAGGTTGGCACCCTTGCCAAGTGGCTGCGTGGAGCAACATCATTGCGAGGGTAATCAAAAGCATCAGCCTGTCCGACTGAAAGCTCGATGCCAAACCAGGCCGTTCTTGACAATCCCATCCATTCCATTGACGACAGATTGACAGTATCGGGTCAGTCACAGTAGGACAGAGGGAGATTTCTGATGACTGAATTGCGGCAGTCTCGACAGTGTGTCTCGACTTCATGGCATAGCGCTGAAGCTAAGTCAAGATCAAGGAAGCTGTGGAAATAAAATACAGTCTTGGCGTGAAAAGTGAGACAATAATAATTACAAAAAAACCCAGATGTAACCGTCCATATGCTACAGTGTTAGGAGCCATCTGCATGCAGGGAGAAGAACGAAACAAGTCTGTCCCGGAACTGTGGCTATGCACTTGCTGCACCTGGCGCGATAGTGTGAGTACTATCAAGAGCAGTAGGTGTCGCGGACGTTGAGGGGGCGGCAGGATGACTCTGCGATGATGACGCCTGGGCATGGACTTGGCATTGTGGTTGGCCTTCCTGCTGTATTGGTTGTGCATTTCTATCAGCGTGCTGAGGTAATGTGCAGCAGCAGAGAAAAAGCACGAGATGACCCAACAATCGGACGGGTGAATACGGATGTCTTGGACGTAATGTAGTAGAATTAGCACCTAGGGCAGGTTGTGTCGTGGATGACCCCCCCTCGGGGGGCGATTGGGTTTGCTGTTGTGTTCTTTCTGGGAGAACAGTAAATATAACCTGAACAGAAATGATTAAACAACAATGGGAAAGGCACACAAAGATATGTATACCTCTCTGTCCTTTACTGCAGCCACTTCGACGATACGAGGCCCACGAGACAATAAGGCTCGCCTTGAGCGTTGCTGGGGTTCAGTATTGGATTGAGACCGGCGGAAAAACAATGAAGGGCGACCAAAGAGTGTATTGACACTCCCAAAAGAAGATGCGAGAGGGCGAGGACGACGGGAAGAGGCAGGGTGACGGTTACCATACGTTCCGGAGGACTGAGATCAAGAGGTCAGCACAAAAGCTGATCAAAAACGCTGATGACACACATTAACACCATCTAGGGCATCGTTGAAAAAACCAGGTGAAAGTCCATCATCCACGGCCTGTGTAGCATCCGCCTAAATATAATATTTAGGTTACAACCACTGGGAAGGATGAGAAACAAATCACGCACATTCATTACCTGCGAGGGGGAGATTAGCATAATTTTGACTGAAAAACCATGAGCCATACATCAGATGAAGGCCGAAGGAGGTCCTCACGGCCAGCTTCTTTGAGGATGGCGTGAATGTCCCATACATATGCATTTTTGTCCTGGCAACCAGTGACCAGGACTTTTCCATTAGCGGAAAGGGCTGCGCAGTTTACTTCAACTTCGTGCTGGAGGAGTGGTCCGACTGGAAGGTTTGTGTCGAGATTCCATATACGCACTGTTGTATAATCTGATGCACATAGAAGGCGGTCGTTCTGAGACAAGGCGATGGCTTTGACCAAGAATGTGTGACCCTCCAGAATGGCGATCTGCTGCCAAGTAGTTGTGTCATATATCCCAATCTGGCTAGATGAACCGGAGATAAGTTTCTTTCCGTCCAACGTGCATGCCAAGCTGCGAACTTCGGAGAAGTGTTGGATTGTGTTAAGCGACTCGCCTGTCTTGGCATCCCAGGTTTTGACTGCGCTCTCGTCATACCCTCCTGTCCCAATTTGTGTGTAATCGGGTGAGTAGATCGCCGCATTCACCCACCTGTGCCCGGTTTTGATTGTCAGGACAGTTTGGCTGCTCTCGACATCCCAGACTCTTGCTGTTCCATCCCAGGATCCGCTCAGCACTCGTTTACCATCTCCACTCCAGCACAATGCACACACGTATTTGGTGTGTCCTGACCATCTGGCGATAACCTTCCTCGTCTCGACGTCCCATAACTTCACATTCCCGTTATGGTATCCTACTGCAATTGTCTTGTCGTTTGGAGACAATGCCATAGACCACACTCCTACCGATTGATTTTTACTATCTCTCCAGCACTCTCCTATCTGTGTGCTGCTTTCTAGGTCCCATAGTCCCAGTGAGCCGTCTGTCGAACATGTGATGATCTGTCGTCCGGCATGCAAATGTACAACACCGTTTACCCAGCCAGTATGACCTCGGAACGTTTGATGTGGCGTGATCGCCTGCGTCTTATTGGAGGAAGACATGGCCAGCACTCGGTATCTCAACTGCGGCAGATTGGGGACTGTCTATGTGAGAGGCAGGAACTTGAAATCAGGTCGAGTTATCCGGCAACAGTAATAATTGCTTGTGAGTCCTCTTACTTCTTGTCAGAGCACACAGGTAAGTGCCAATAAGACATCCCACTAACAGGTCCACTACTTACCCAGAACTCCAACTTCAGGACTGTCTATGGAGTTGTTATCTGAGAAATTAGAACATGCTAGAGATCTTTGTGGGTATTCAAAGTAGCTGGTAAGTATATCGTCAGTTGTGTCCTGCAATAAAAGCTTACAGTATCACTTACGAGCAACACCGTTTAGACGATCCCTCGATCACCGGCGATCAGAGTATGTTTAGTTTGGAGTTGAGGATCTGTTCGTTCACGTCTGCCTTTTAAGGTTTGTTCTATGTGTAATCCTCGTGTTCGCTTCACACAGCTTATTGCTGTGTAGATCAAGCGCTCGGCTCTGCGACTGGTGCTATGTCTATATGTAAGGACTAGTTGTGACACACATTCGACAAGGTGCTGCACTGCCTCCCCACCTCTGCATGTCTCATCCGGTCTATCTTAGAACTTGGTTCCATCAACCCTTCCAGCACATTTGCAGGTCATAGGGCAGCGTCTATCTCTGAGTTTATTTGTTTTACAATATCCAAGTTCTGGCTTTACGGAACTACCTTGCTTGATTATCCTGAGCCCCACCAGCACCATGTCAGACCTTCCCTCCGCCATCCACCCCGACATTCTTCCCCGCCTCGACCCTAAATATGTCGCGTTCCATAATACCCATCTAGTGCACCGCGTGCTCCCATGCACGATCCTCTGGCATCCGGATATCAGGAAGGCGCTCGACATCCCAGGTGATTCGCCTGTTATGACAGTCGGGGCTGTCAAAGATATCAGTCTGTAGAACTGCAAGATTCGGGCCTTCATACCCCTCCTCCAGAAGGGTGGCCGGTATTGTTATATATCCGTGGAAGTAACGATCTATAATTATTTGGCAGATTTCAGCTGAGAATCCTAAGGTGGATGGACGCTTGGGAGTATCGATACTTTGAACTCATTCATATCCTGCCAATGCAAAGGTGAGGTCGGACAGTGAAGACCGTTGTCTGACTGGAGTTTACTAATTGTGTTTAAGATAACAACTGCATTTCGGTGGCTCTGGACTATCGCTTGGCTCCTGAGAACCCATATCCTGCAGCGGTCGAGGACACGGTTGATGCGTTGAAATTCATTTACTACAACGGGAAGGCAGAGTTCAATGCGAACGTGAACAAAATCGCGGTTGGAGGGTCATCCAGGTGCGTACCGTCCCATCCTGTATGAATCCATGATGAACCATAACTTGTCAGTGGCGGCAATTTAGCTGCAATCACATGTCTCAAGGCGCAAGAACTCACGCCTCCCATCCCCATCATCTTCCAGCTATTGATTGTGCTGGTAACAGAATATCTAGTTCACGAAGACAATAAAACTGAATCCTTTTTGAAAATGTTCCTCTTGAAACGGTTGACATCATAGAGTTAGATACATTGCATGGGCCTCATGAGAAAACAAGATTGATGTACGTTGGTTGCGAAATGATATGAAGAAAAAGATAAGACTACAGAAGAATTATAAGTAAATGTGAAATAGTTGAGCACCTGTATTGATGTCCAACAGTATGTGGGGAGTTGCACAGCAGAAATGAGTTCGCCATAGAAGGGGCCATGACTACGTGCTTGCTGCACTTAGCGCAGTAGGACTAGTTGCAGGAGTAGGTATCGTAGATGTCGAGGCGGCCGTAGATTGAGTCTGCAATGATGATGCCCGGGGCTGGACTTGACCTTGCTGCTGCTGCATTGATTGTGCATTAGCATCGGCGTGCTGAGATGCGCAACAGAGAAAAAGCACGAAATGAGCCAACAACCGGACGGGTAGTGAATGCGCATGTCTTGAACGTGGTATAGTAGAATTAGCACCTGGGGCAGGCTGTGCCGTGGATAACCCCTGGGCGTGCGATTGGTTTTGCTGCTGTGTCTTTTCTGGCGGCGGCGGGGCAGTATATATGACCTCGACAGAAATCATTAAATGATAGGGAATGCACGCAAAAGATACATACCTCTCTGTCCTTCACTGCAAAAACTTCAACAATACGAGGACCACGAGACAATAAGGCCCGCCTTGGGCGTTGCTGGAGTTCAGTTGATTTATTAGCCTTGGAGTGAGAGCGGCGGAAAGGTAACGAAAGGCGACCGAGGAACGTATTAACGCTCCCAGAAGAAAGGGCAAGAGGGCGAGGACGGCGGGAAGAGGAATGGTGATAGTTACAGTACGTTCTGGAAGACTGAGATCAAGAGGTCAGCACTGGAACTGATTAAAAACGCTGATGACGCACATTAGCACCACCTGTGGCATCGTTGAAAAAACCTAGCCAAGATTCATCATCCACGGCCTGCGTAGCATCCGCCTAAATAGAATATCTAGGTTACAACGGTTGGGAAGGTTGAGAAACAAATCACATACATCCATCAATGACCCTTGAACTGTAACCTGCAAATATTAATGTGATATTAGCGCAGTTTTGACTAAAGAACCATAAGCTTTACATCAGATGAAGGCCGAAGGAGGTCTTCAAGGCCAGCTCCCTTGAGGATGGCTTGAATGTCCCACACGTACGCATTTTCGTTTCGGCAGCCAGTGACTAGCAGCTTTCCATCCGCGGAAATGGCTGCACATTGCACGTGATCTTCGTGGTGGAGGGGAGGACCGACTGGGACGTTGTTTTCGAGATTCCACAGGCGCACTGTTTTACTATCTGAATCTGATGCACATAGAAGGCGGTCGTTCTGAAACAAGGTGATGGCTTTGACCAAGAATGTGACACCTCCCAGATTGGCGATCTCCAGCTGCCAAGTGGTTGTGTCGTATATCCTAATTGGTTCATATGAACCGGTGATAAGTTTCTTTCCGTCTGACGTCCAGGCCAAGCTCCAAACAGGATCGTCGTGTTTGAGCGTATCAAATAGCTCGCCCGTTTTGGCATCCCAGACTTTGACTGCGTTCTCGTTGTCTCCACCGGTTGCAATTTTCGCTGCATCGGGCGAGTATGTCACCGCATTCACCCGTCCGTGGTCGGTTTTGATTGTCAAGACAGTTTTGCCGCTCTCGACATCCCAGACTCTTGCTGTCCCATCCCAGGATCCGCTCAGCACTTGTTTACCATCCGCACTCCAGCACAATGCACCCACAACTCTGCTGTATCCTGACCATTTGGCGATAACCTTCCTCGTCTCGACGTCCCATAACCTGACTTTCCCGTCATTACATCCACTTGCAATGGTCTTGCCATTCGGAGACAATGCCATGGACCGTACTCCTGACTCATCCTCTTCATCTCGCCAGTCCTCTCCTATCTGTTTGCAACTCTCTAGGTCCCATAGTCGCAGTGAGCGGTCCATAGAACATGTGATGATCTGTTGTCCAGCATGCAGATGTACAACACCGTTTACCCAGTTGGTATGACCTCGCAACGTATGACAAGGCGTGATCGCTCGCGTCTTACTGGTGGAGGAAGACATGATTGGCGCTCAGTATCTCAACTACGGCAGATTAGGGATTATGTATGTGAGAGGTAGGATCTTGAAATCAGGTCGAGTTATCCAGCAACAGCAATAATTGCTGATGAGTCCTGTTTTATCACCTTACTTCTTGTCGGAGCAGCAAGTGATTGCTAATAAGACAGCCCACTTACAGGTTCACTCCTTACCCAGAGCTTTAACTTCAGGACTGTCTATTGAGTCGTTATTCGTCAGTTGTGTCCTGCAAGAAAAGCTTACAGTACCACTTACGAGCAATGCTAGACGACCCCTCGATCACCAGCAATCAGAACGTGTGTAGTTGGGAGTTGAGGAAGTTGGGCACCTGTTCGTTCAAGTCGTTTTTAAGGTTCGTCCCATGCATCATCCTCGTGTTCGTTTCACAGCTTATTGCTGTGTAGATCAAGCGCTCAGTGCTCGGCTCTGCGACCGGTGCTATGTCTATACGTAAAGACTACATTGATGGTTGTGGCACACATTCGACAAGGTGCTGCGCTCCCCCAATTTCCTAATTACAAGAGTTCCGAATCCTTCGGACAGCAACCTTAACTATCCATTTCACAATAACAGACGTCTGTATACTACGTTGGCCGTCGTCTCTTCCTCCTGTTCTCGAAACAGCGCCTGAATGTGTCTGCGACCACGTACTCTTGACAGCGCAGTGTACAGTTGACCGTGTGCGAAGGAATCAGTGCGTAAGTCGAGCACCGCCTTCTGTAACGTTAGCCCTTGGCTTCCATTGAACGTTGTAGCGTAAGCGGCGCGCAATGGAAAGCGCTCCGTCCTTACAATATGTAGAAAAACCTGGCACCGACTATTCATGCTAATCAAGATTAAGAGCCAGCGGTGATCATACATAAATATCAACGTCCCATGAACCGATTCATGCTTTCCCTCGGTGTCTCTTCCTATTACCACCATCTACGCTCTCAGATTTGTTCAGCCTATCGAGCAAGGACGACGTTCTTGGTGTGGGATCTCTCGACTTTGAGAAAGGAATTGAAGGATACGTCGAAGGCACTGTTCCTAAGCCTGCGAGGGGTGTTGGACCGCCAGTGTGAGGAGCAAGCGGAGATTGAAAGGAAAAGGAGTGTCGAGATGTTGGAGCGCCTGTGGAGCTCAAGTGGCGCGCGCACATGGGAATCACAGGATATTGGAAATCGCTCCATCCTTACAATATGTAGAATGTGGCTTCGTGTTGAGTCTTCTACCTTCCCAGTGAAATGGCGAAAGAACAATTATGAAGCTGAACGAAAGGACAATTATTTGGAATCAGCCCTGTTCAATATTCCTTTAATATTGACAGTACCTGTCCTGGTAGCCTTTAAAGTCCGTTGCGATATTATTTTGTAGAAACATTCAAACTCGATCATCATATTGAAACGCCAGCTTGTGACCACCCGCACTCCTGATACAGAGGATAGGGTAGTCTCTAGTAGGCGAACGTTGAAAGCAGTGACTCGGGGTGAACATGGGCATATTCATCCCTCCCAAGATGATTTTGAGGCGTCTTGCGCAATGGCCGTCCTAGTATATGATGCTTGGTGTGATCAGATTAAAAGTGTTATCTTTGGAAAACAATAAATATATTGAATACGCTGGCCGGGGTGAGGGATTAGAAGAAGGAATGCTAATGGTCCGACTGGTACACTATCTCTCTCTCGTGCAGCCTCAGGATTCGCAGGTAGGATAACAACTACTTGCCAGAGGGTTGAGGAGGTTGTGAAAAGTGAATGTCTCTGTCTGATTGGACGGTGTAAAGGAACCACTGGCAAATGACCTCGATAGAGAGAAAATGATATTTACAAGAGAACTAGATACATTCATAAGATAGTTGTACATGCGCTGCATCAATGACCATCGGTGTGTGGGGGAGACGCACAACAAAGAAGTATGAAGTGAGCCCGCAATGGAAGGGGTTGTGACTGCACGTTTGGAGCAGGAGATGTAGTAAGACTAGTTGCAGGAGGTGTCCTGAATCTCGAGACAGCAGCAGGCTGAGTCTGCAATGATGATGCCTGGGGCTGGGCTGGGCGGTCTGGGCCTTGTGATTTACATTGCTGCTGCTGTTGCGTTGGTATCACATTGCCATAGGTGGGCTGAGGAGACACACAGCAAAGAAAAAGTATGACATAAGCCCACCATGGGATGGGTTGTGATGGTGCAGGTGTTGCAGTACCATTAGGCTGAGTGTGTGGATGAGGTTGCGGCCGCGGAGCAACATACACTGCCTACATGAAGATCATGAGATGCCAGAAATTTACATGCTGGGAAAAGCCATACCTGCCTGTCTTGTACTGCAGTCACTTCGACAACATGAGGATACCTTGGGCGTTGCAGGAGTTCGAATTCTTCACCAGTGTGGGATGAGTTGCAGTTTCTTCGCCGGTATTGAGTCGAGAGCAGGGAGAAAGTGGGGACAGATGAACGAGGAGCTCATGTAGATCAAACTGTGAAGGCGTAGAGGATTGTTGAAGTTTATCTGGTGGATCATTCTTGGGTGAAGAATGGTGTATGAGTGAGGATAGGCGAGCAAAAAGCAGGCGGGGATGTAACCTCAAAGGTGTTGAGGGTTGCAAATTTTCTGTTGCTTCAGCATTTGTCAGGTCGAAAATGGTGGGAGAATGAAGAAAGACGAGCCATGAGTGCACTTGCAGAGGAATGATGGTGGAGACCATGCATTGCAATTTATGGTGAGTCAAGCGCATGAGTATATCAATGCATCATTGGCATCTGACCATACATGCTCGTGCCTGGTCTTGATTGGACCGAGGACAACCTAGACATTCCAGAATGTCGCCATCCTGCCGCAGTATCTGCTCGCATCTCCCCTAGTTCAGCATACTACTGACAGCACAGGCAATCCTATAATATCAGCACCATGACAGCAGTAACATAGTCAAAAGCCATACAGAAGAGCCCATGGGCCATGTATCACACATC